TGATGGGATCTCTGCAGAACTTTGAAGCCTTCTCAGAGGTGTTTGGCTGTGGGGAGGGCACAGCCATGCACCCCCCGGGGAAGTGCCGCGTGTGGTGATGCTCAGCCAGGCTGAGGGTGCCACACGCTCTGGGCACACAGCACACGGTGACAGGGATGTGCCTGGGGCTCTCCCAGTCCCTCCCAGCCACGGCTGAGGGTGCAGCTGCTGCAGTGAGAGCCAAGGAACCACAGGACTCCCAGCTCTCCCAGTGCCACTGGGATCCAGGACTGTGCTCCCGGCCACAACGACTGTTCCAAGGACATCCTGACTGTTACTGAACACTGCATCAGGGTTACAGAGACTCGTTCTTCAGTGGAAACAAACCCAACCACCAACTTATTTTTCAGAAAGGAGCAATGATTTTAATATTTCTTTCAACTGCACCTTCTGGGGCTCAGCAAACCTCTCAGAGATGTTTCCCTGAGCCATTCCCAGCATTGAGTTTCTGGAGGATTCTTCCTCAGCCTGGGTTAGAGGTAGTGTAAGGCCTCGTGCTGTCTGTCTCCCTGCACTTTGACCACTGCTTTGTTGCCAGAGATTGCTGTTTGTCGTGCCATGTCACACAGTGAGCTCAATGTCCAGATGCCTCTTGCACTCTCCTCCTGCACTTGACTTCCTCTGCTCCAAAGAACAACCCCAAAGTGAGGACTCATTAGAATGATCACCTCTTAGGAGTACAAATTCTGTCTTCATGGTTCAATTACAAGGTCCCACCCTCCAGAGATATATTTAAAATGATGCTTATTCTTGTAGAAAGTGTATAAAATCCTTTTTTTTTTTTGCCAAATAGCAAACATGTATCCATGGAAACAATGAAGCTGGTTTTAACCCTGTGCCTTTTCATCTTGCCATAGGCTATTTTTCAGTATTTACACTTGAAAATGTAACATGTATTCATTTTTAATAAAATCTAAAAAAAAAAATAAAAACCACAGTGGCCAGATCAGCAAGGATTTCCCCGTGGAGAGGTTTGAGTGGCCAGTTCCACAGGGATTTCCTCGTGGAGAGGTTTGACTGGCTGTCCTGCTATAACAGGAGCATTTTAAACTGCCAACACTTCATAGTGGATTTTAAATACTCTTCCAGCAGTTGCTTTTCTTCCCAGAAATCCCTGGAAAGCCAGGTAGTTCCTGCTAGTGTGAAATCCTGGTGGGATTCTTGGGGTGTCCTGTGCAGGGCCAGGAGATGGACTCGATGATCCTTGGGGATCCTTCCAGCTCAGGATATTCCACGATTCTTGTGATTACCAATCACCAAATCACACTACTCCTTCACTTATCAGATCTCATCACTTCACTAGCACAAGGTTTGAGTCTCTAAAGTCAGATTGGCACAGAATCCTGCCCTAGGAGTACAAGTCAGTGTTGTCTGTGACCAGACCATGGGACAGTTTGGGCCTTGGGAATTGCATTCCTTCCACTTGGCCCTGCAGTCTCAGCAGAAGGGCAGTGACAGAGGCTGATCCCAGGCTGGGAGTCCCTGCTGAGCAGGAGGGGACTGGGGCAAGGGACAGCTGCATTTCACACTCCTAGGCATTTGCTGGGCATCAGAGACGGTTCATTGCATCCTTCGGGAAAGAAGGACCATCCCAATGTTTTCCAGGAGGAGGAACACGAAGCCTTTCCTTCTCCCCTGCTGCCACCTGGTGACAATCCGGCCCAGCTCCTAAAAAGGAGAGTGCAGGCTCCTTGTCTCTGAAATTTCTCCATCTGGGGGTTTGGTTTGCCCAAAAAGCTGTTTACTCCACACTGGCAATGACCCTTCATGCACAAGAGGTGCAGAGGGACAGGCAGTGGTTAACAATTAGCCAATTCCACAGCTGCAAATGTTGGAAAACATCCAAGCCCAGGAAACATTAACCAGATAAAGAGCAAAGACCTAATCTAGAGGAGGGAAAAAAAGGGCAGAAAAAAAGAAATATAATTGCCCAGTTCTGATCTTTGCTGTTCCTTGTGGCAGAACCAGGAGTCAGAGTAGCCCCAAAGCAGCAGTGGATTCACTGGGTGCAGTGGGTTGTTCAGAAGGAAAGGTTACAACTGCCTTACTGACTTATTACAGTCACTAGGAATAAAATCAACTTGAAAGATGCAATAAAGGTTCAGTTCTCATGTGTGACCCCCAGCAGACACACAAGGCTCAGCAAAGGCTGTGCCTCTTTTAGCTTCAGATACTTCCAGAACTTTTTCCAGGAATTGTGGCACTCCTTTTTGCACAAGAGCAGCTGGGACTGACACTTTGCCCTTCCAGGATTACTGCAATGCAAATGTTTGCAAAACACGGAAATGATACCATTGGTTGCTCTTCAGAAAAAAAAACAACACCTAAAAAATCACTATGTTTGTACTCTTAGAACTTGAACAGAAAGTGTTTCTGCATGGACAGATCTGCGTGTGCACAGCAGAATGTTTTTCAGGAATTTCCAAGCATTCCCTAAAGCCTCTGCCTGCACATTTCACAGCAGAGCTGTGGAGCACAGTCCCTGCAGCCACTCCTGAACACCACAGAGTTCCTGAAACATCAACCTCCTGTGCCAAACACGCTGAACTAACTCTGCTGACCAAACAACAGTTAACAAAACAAAGCATGAAGAAGTTGTCTATATTTTCCCTAAGCAAAGGGTCACCAGTTCCCATTTTTTCCATTCCTCATGGTCATGAGGATGCCTCTTTCCAGGTGTCCCACTACACCCACCCCACACCTTCTCCTTACTCCAGCTTCTTCCACATCTCATATTATAGACACTCTGGTAGCTAAAGCATTTCTGTCCTCACCAAACCCTCCCCTACAAACACCCATCAGGGTGCTCATCCAGAGTGATGCTTTCCCTTATGATTATGCTAACAGCAACTCAGAGTTTCCCCATTCTGAGGTACCAGGAAAGATCTTCCACACAGAGAATGTGATTTCATTAGTAAAAAACTTTATTTTTATACACATAGTACCTTAACTCTCTTTAGCAAAAGCTGCAAGTTTCCTGCTGTGCTTTCCCCATCAATATTTTCACTAGTCCTAAGAAAGAAAATTCTGTCCAAAATGTACTTAGAAAAATGTGTTATAAGCCATGTGAAATGTTTAAAATGACCAAAAAAAAAATAAGAAGGTATTTTTTAACACCAACAAGCAACAATGGAATAATTAATGCGTACCAAGTGTGAGCTGTCCCTGGTGGAAGGAAGGAAGGAAGGAAGAACTAACTCCTGGCATTCCACACAGGCCACTGCCCCATGAAGGGAATGTAAAGGGGAAGAGGTTTCCAGCCCCTGGTGATGCTGTTCCATGCCTTGGTCACTCAGCTGATTCAGACCCTGGTGCTTCACAAGATGCTTTTACTCCTTTGCAGCTCCTCCTTTTCAGTTTCAAGCTGCCTCTTTCCCCAGGAAGATTTAGAAGCAGAAAGCTTGGTTTGGGTTTATTTTAACCATCCCCATTGCCTACCACAGTTCAAATAGGAATGTCCTGTTCAGGTCTGGGTTCTCTGGGGTTGGCACTGGTTTCCTGCACAGGAACAGCTGCTTGATCTCCTTTCTCCTGGGTTGGCATCAAAGCCTGACCCTGCTGTTCTCTCTTTAAGACATGTCAAAGGATAACACAGAGTATGAACAGTCAGTTTTCACCAGCCTTTACCAGTAAATCCTGCTCCTTCCACTACTAGTAGCCAGTCTTGTGCTTCTTCCTTAAGAGCAAGAGCCACTGTTGGGCCCCTCTCAAATCACACAGCCCATTCCCTGTTTTTCCCACAAAACACATCACTGGGAGCAGAGCTTGCAAATCACTAACAGGAACTTTTAGGGGATACAAAATGCTACAGGATGGAGATATACAAACCAGTTACATAAGACAGACTTGTATTTTTAGTAGGAGTTCACCTCCAAAATCCCCTTGAATGTTCTTTCTCAGACAGTGTCAGGGGATAACAAGGACCCTGGGACTAGATCCCAAGCCTCCTAGTGGGAATCACATAAAGGGAATTTATACTCCATAGCCCTGGGGATTCTGGAACTCACAGTATCCACCAGCTGCTCCAGTACACACTGAGCCCATCAAACACAGCACATACTCAACAAAAAAACCTCCTGCAGATTTCAATGTTCTACCCAAAGAGAGCAAAGAGATACTCACCTCTGGCTCCTGCACAGCTGCAAAGGAAAGGTAACAGTCCCATCAGAAAGCAGCAAGGGCAGCTCTGTACCACTGCCCTTTCCTACCCATGCTGTGCCAGGAGTGGGGCAGCAGGGAATGTTCCCTCTGGGCACAGGCACAGCCCCAGGGAGACCACACACAGAGGCAAACTGGGGCACAGAGGTGCTGAAACTCCCTTACCTGCACCTCTAACTGGCTGCTAAGGCAACAGCTGAAGCCCTAAGACCATCCTGCACAGTAGCATTACAAAACTACCCCTGGGCAGTCACCCTCTTCACACTTACTTGACACATTGATTTTCCTTCTCTTCCTTTGCCAGAGGAACACCAGGACAGCAACCACAGTCAGCACCAGAAGCAGTAGGATCACAACAGAGATTGCCACAATCAGAGGGTTTGGCCTATCAAGTTTGATGTGAGAAAAGCAATAACTGTGGTGTTAGAACCTGCACTGCCACTGCTGCACTGTTTCTGACACCACATCTCCACAGCCAAGAGAATTCCCAAAGGTCTTTCTGACTTGATGGGTAATCCAAGGGGGAGCTGAGTCTTACATCTGGTTCTAAGCACAAAAGGATTCTCCCCAGAAGCAAACTCTCACCTGCTCTGCCCTAGCTAAGGGATGTGTCAGCTGGCACCCAGGTACCCATGGCTCCAGACCCAGCTCTGCCAGAGCCACCCAGGAGTCTCCCATGTAGTGACAAGTTCAGCCAAGGGGCTGAAGGCTAAATCTGTCATGTTAGTGAGTTTGTGAAGAGATGAGTTCAGCTGTTCCCAAGAAAGACTGGGACATGAGAACACGATTATGCACTCGGTGCCTTACTGGAAGGAGGACACTGCTGGCAGCAAAATGCAGACTCAACAGTCAGAGAGCAGTGACATCCCCAGAAAGAGCCAGAGCTGCTCACCTGGGCTGTGGTGTGCAGGTGTCAGACATGCTGGCTGTGGAGGAGGTTCCAGGAGGACAGGCTTCACACACGTTGTCTGTGGTCTTTGTGCCTACAAGGGAGAAGCCACAGGATTTCTCCCTGCACCTCTGGCTAAGGAAATCTTCAGTCATAATTGTAAGTGACCCTGCAGAGACTCTTCAGCACAGACAACAGCTCACACACTTCTGCCTCAGCACACAGGGGAAAAGCATCCTTGGCCCCATCATGGCATTCCATAGGAAAGCTTTGCTGCTGGTGTTCCTCACGCCCTGTTGGCTTACCCTTTTCTTTGACCATGGTGCCAGGCAAGCAGACAGTGTAGGGCTCACAGAGTTCACAGTCTTCAGGCCCAGGATTACTGCAGAAATGCTCGGGCAGACAGCCACACACAGTGTTCTTCGTGTAGGTACACTCTGCTACTGGCATGAGGTTGGCTCCTGAGAGGAATTCACATGCACAGCCACAGAATTGACAGGGGACAAACCAAAGCACAACAGAGCTTTTAGCCTTGCCTTGGTGCACTGAACAGCACCAGAACTTTGCATGTGTAATAAGGGCTCAGTTCCTCACAGATGCAGCACTCTGGGTCACATTTATGTCTGTCCCAACTCAGATGTTTTTACATTCGCTGTCCTGGTAGAGTTCTTCCAGACCTACCTCATCCCAGTATTCCAGGACTGTTCTTTACACATCTCACTGCAATCTACAGGAGCCTTTAAACACTAAGAGAGAGGCTGCAAATCAAACTTCCAGTGGTGCCAACTGGAGCTCTATGTCAATTTTTCCCTTCCACCCCCCGAATGAGGCAAGAAAGGGGAAGGGAGAATGGTTCCACAAAAGGCATGAAAAATGCATTTAAACTGGTTCTTCAGCATCCTCCTTACCCTCATCACACAGCTTGCATGCTCTGCACTCTGTTAAACCATTGGGGTGCTCTGTGTAGGTACCCTCCATACAAGGCACACACGTCGTGCCGGAAAAGGCAGTGCAGTGCTTGTGAACACGGTGTCCTAAAAACCAGGAACAAGTGCCCAGAGAAAGACCTCTGTTAGCAAAGCTCACACAGCCAGGGACTGACACTAGCATTAAATCACATGGAACTGCTCGTTCCTCAGAAATATCCTAATAACAATGAGATAATCCTGAAAGAGAAAGCAAAACCCAAAATGAAGGTTCTCAGAAACCGTCTGACATTACCAACTACCACAAGAGTGACTCTGTTGATGGTTACACCCACTTGGAGACTTTCAAAGAAGGGGCAGAGCCTGGTGCTGGGTGAGGGGTGAGTGTTGGCTGGAGAGGACACCCTGGGGTGATGCTCAGGACCGTGGGCTGACCGAGTCTAGTCAGGGTGCAGTGGGCACCAAGGTGGTGCTTGGTCCCCATGGCTGCTGCCCACTGGGGCAGATCATCCTGTGGCCACTGAGATGGGTTAACTCCTAGGCACTGCCCACTGAGGAGGGTCAGCCCTTGACCACTGAGATGGGTTAACTCCTAGGCACTGCCCACTGAGGAGAGTCATCCCTTGACCACTGAGATGAGTTAACTCCTAGGCACTGCCCACTGAGATGAGTTAACTCCTAGGCACTGCCCACTGAGGAGGGCCACCCCATGGCCACTGCCCACTGAAGTGAGTCACACCTATATAACCACTGACTCAGGCTCCACTCGTGGGCACTGGGGCAGGCAGGATCCTCCTCTCCAGCCAATGTGACCTGCAGGCATCC